TCATTTGACACAAATTATGATAGAACGATGAGATTTAAATACATTAACACACACCACATTTAAAAGCAAATTGCCAGGCCAGTTGGGTTTCGTTAGGTTTATTTTCAAAATTAGCTAGTTGGTGCCTTAGCACAGAACGGATATGGTATTATAGGCTCTGTCCCCGTTGAATGCCAGAAAAAATTATGGAGAAGCCGAAACAGAATTGTAAGCTTCTTAAAAGCAGGTGAACATTAACTCTGGGTATATGGGATGTAATGACTATAGCATCTTTAGAATGACATTGTGTGCTAAGGGGCAGGGTCAAGGATGCCATGTCTTTAGGATAATTAGAAATTTGCCTGTTGTACATTTTCCCCCTTCCCTTGGATTTCTCCAACCCCAGCACAGCAGCATGATGTCACCAGTCCCTCCCTTCCCTTTTCATGATTGCCTATCGTTCCAGAGGCCAAAAGCAAGTGTTTACACCCATTCCTCCCCTGAGCTGATCAGTTTCATAAAGTCCAAAATGAAATGGCTTTATTTGGGATTTGCATCCCACTGCCCTTTTATAGAAAACACAGTTGCATATTATGCGACCTTGCTATCGCCTTATGTTATGGAATCTTAATGCCTACGCCCCCAAACTGAGGCTGCTCTTAGAGATTTCTGAACAATATTAAGTACTTGGTAACAAACCCTGATGATGTATCTTTAGACATGTATTGTGGAGATCTTCATCTACCTTGGAAGGAAAATGCAAAACATCCTTTGACGGATGACTTCCAAGATAACTTCATGGTTTTTCGCAGTCAGAGTCAGATCAACAAAGCCATGTTTCTACTACATGATGGATTTCCTTGCAGGCCTTAGGCTCTCTCTATATTGTGACATAGGCCGGTCCTTATTTAATAATCATTTATCATCGCCATGATAACCGAATCTCCAAAAATCACTGCCAGTTCTCACAGTCTCTAAGGGGTGTAATTGTGGGTGTTGAAGAAGAAGGAAGCGTGAAATCCGATTTAAGGGGAGCTGAAGATGTATCTCCATCAGTACCATCTACCAGGTTTTCTTCATGCACCCCAAATTTTCAGATGCCACCTTCTTCCCTGAACAACTTCTTCCAGGGGTGGTTGGACAAGGCTGTTTTGTTAGCATTTTTGGTACCTAGTCTTATATGTTATGTGAAAAATAATAATTTTCTGCTAACTACTTTTGCCTGTAGAAGGTTAAAAACATTAAAAAAAAAAGATAGAAAGATGGTGTTATCCTTCCTAGCCTACACTGACCACACACTTGCCATTCTCCTGCCTTGGCTGTCTGAGTATTGGGATAAGAAGCACATCCATTATAATGTAATTGAATAAAGGTTTCATATATAAAATATGTAGCATGATGTTTTGAAATATGCATGCATCTGGGAACAGCTCAACTGAGTTAAGTAATGCACTACTCCACAGATGTTTCTATGTGTGTTGGGAGCACTTCAAATCTATTTTTAGTGATTCTTCAAAGATTCCTATGTGCTGTTATAAGCTATAGTCCCTTTATTCAATGCATAGCTCAGGAGCATATTTATCCAAAATAAAACTTTACCCTTGAATACATTCCCCGTGTTCCCTAACTCCTACTTCCATCCCCAACCCCTGTACCATGTTGTCCTCTTTGGGGTTCAGCATTTCAGACCGGACATCTGAGAGGATTCTGCCTGTGCCTGGCCTGCTTCCCTCCCCACATGGTTCTTTGGTTTCATCCATGCTGTTGCAAAGGTCAGAGTTTCTTCTGCTTCAAGGCTGATAGCATTGCGGCTTTTATTTACACCTCATTGTCCTTATCCACACATCTGTTGACTGAAACTTAAGTTGATTCTGTCTCTGGGATCTTGTGACAAATGCCGCCGTGAACATGTACTTATAGATACCTCACCAGCAGGCGAATTTTATTTTAATTTTAATTTGCACCCAGTATGGGATTGCTGGATTCTGAACTGGCTGTGCCAATTTACACTCCCACCAATGGCCTTCAAAGCCTCCCACTTTTCCACGTCCTTGCCAGTGCATTATCTTTTGATAGTAGTATTCTAAAAGCGGTGGCATCATTTCTCAATGTGCCTTAATCTGCATTTCTCTGGTAGTTAGTAATAGGTGAGCCTTTTTCATATATCTGTTGGTTTTCTGTGTGTTGTCTCTTGAGACATCTCCTTGATCTATTCTGCCTGTTATTTATTTGGGTTCCTTGTTTTCATGCTGTTGAGTCGCTTGAGCTTTCTATATGCTTCGTATACTAACTACTTGCATGACATGTAGCCTACGGATACTTCCTCCCATCCCATTTGTTGCTGTTGCTGCTTCTCTGCTGATTGGCTCTTTGGATGTGTGGATATTTAGCTTGCTATCATTTCTATTGGTTCTTTTTCGTGTCTCTGTTTTAGGTCATAAAGCAATCACACCCATACCCGTATGCACATGGGCAGCACTAACTGGGTTAAGTGGGTTATGATGGGTATGGAGAGAAGAGGACAAGGAATTGGGAGGGAAATGTGGAGTGGTGGTCTGGGCGAAGCTGAGGGATAGCAGGAGTGAATCTGATCAGAACACGTAGAGATATACAAAATTTTCCAAGGATAGATACATAATAAAAATAAAAAAATCATGACTTATTCCAATGTCAGGAAGATGTGTTTCCGTTTCCCTCCAGTACTTTTACAGCTTCGGGCCCTACGCTTAGGAATTTAATCCACTTAGCGATTCTGTATGCAATGAAAGAGGCTCAATTTCATCTTCCTGCACCTAGATGCCCAATTGCCCCAGCATCATATTTTAAAGAAGCAATCTTCTCACAATGTGTATTTTTGGCATGTTTGTTGAGGATCAATTGACTGTTAAAAGTGTTAGTTTATTTCAGGGCTTTCTAGTATATTCCGTTGGCTTAAATGTCTGTTTTTATGGCAGCCCCATGCTGTGTTGATTGCTATAGCTTTATATATTTTGAAGTTAGGGAACCTGATGTTTCCAATAGCTTTATTTTTTTTAATGTAGGGTTTTTTCCCTACTACATTATAAATTTTAAGTTTTTTTCTATTTTGGTGGAAACAACATGATAATTTTGATAGGAATTTTTATTGAATCTGTAGAACACTTTGGGCAATATGTGCATTATAATAACATGGAAAACCTGATGCTTCCTTCAGTTTCTTTTGCTATTATGTAGGTTTCATTGCACAAGTCTTAATATATACCTATACATATATCTATAAAACATATTCTCTAGATCCCTTATTAATGAGATTGATTTCGTGGTTTCTTTTTTTAGATAATCTGTTACTAGCATTCACAGGGTGTGTGAGCCTATGAATGATAGTAACAGATTATCTAAAATTATTAACTGCCTAGCAGCAGTTTTCAAATGTGAACGGCATGAGACCAGAGCTGTGCAGAAAACAGAGACATATACCAAGGCTGACTTTCCGCCATCCATAGAATCTTGTTATTGGCCAGTGTGTGTCTCCTTCCCCCTTCCTCATGTCAGGAGGCCAAGACTCACATTTGTGAAGCAGTCACCATCCACTGGAGGTTCCAAATTGATGGCAAAGTCAGAAAGCCAAGTGATATTTTGGTGGAAATGCCCTTTCTCGGGGTTCCAAGTGCTCTATTGATGCCCAGGCATGGTGGTACAGTCCTATGGCCCTAAAGCTGAAGATTTCAAGGGCAGCATGGGCTAGATAGAGAACTCCAGACCAGTCTTGGATATACAGTGAGACCTTGTCTCAAAACTAAATAAATCAAAATAATGCATTGCAGTTGAGATACGGATCCATTGTGTTTCAACTCTGCACCATGATTCTTGCTTGAGGGACTTATCTGTGTCCCTTGATTTAGGCAAAGCATGGTTGGCGAATCCTTAATTCTTTCTATTGCACTGTATGAGAGAGACCTAAACTTCTGCCAGTTGTTACAAAGTTCAATTAGAGGTCGCGTTCCTGCTTCTACGGGATAAATTTTAGCTTTGTGATCTTTATTTCCTTGACTTCTTTTTTGAGGTGGGAGTAGATTTGTATAATGTCATGTGTCATGTCGTGATAAATCCATTGTCCTTTATGGTATCTTTCCTTAATGTCATTAAATACACACAAGTTAAGTGGGATGGCATTTAACTTGCTAAACTCTAAAATCACAAAACGTGGAATCTTCATCACCTGCTGAAGAAGGTAAACAGAGATACAGAGCCTAGATTGCCTGTGTACCCTACACCTGACATAAAAGCCTTTCTGATGTGTAAAGTTTACCTGTCTTATAAAAGGGATGACTGAGCTAGTCGTGTTAAGACATCTTTCCCAAAGTGAGCTTCAACTGATTTGAAAATGGGACTGGTTACAAAGAACATGGTCCACTGCCATGCCAGCCTATACCGTGCTACTGTCTCAGAAGTAACCTCTATTAAAGATATAAAAACGAATTAGCTTGAGTTCATGGACCATTGCTAATAAAAACACAGACTATTATCCCAGTTTCAAGCTAGGCTCCCCTGTCCTCTTGGTAACAGAATCACCAATTCCAGCATTTGATATGCCATCAAGAAACCTGGGGAAAGGCAGGTAAGAGAAGGGAGTTGAAAAAAATATGTAAGATTTACGTCTCAGTACCTGATGGCTTATAAAGGAAGTAAATGGAAGATATTTGGTTTAGTTTTTGTTAATTGAAGAAAAGTGGTAGGGAGTACCAGCAAAAAGGTAAGTAAAGAGTAGTCATATGGTGATAATGGCCAAATAAAGCAAAGAAATCAGAGTTCAGGGCTGGGAGTCACTTCCCCATCTCCCTGGTCATTGCACCCATCACGGAATGAGAATCTGCATTTTGGCTTTCAAGCTAGAGTCATCATGCAAGAAGAATACATTAATTTCGTATCTTCTCATCCCTTTCTTTTGGGGATAAGCACTGGGGTTTTCTGCTGTTTATTATTTCAAAGGCATCTATATGCTAATACATTTTATGCTAATTATTTTCATGTTTGCCCCTCAGGTTATGCTCCACATCACCCACCAGGGAGGATCATCTCTCATGAAAAACTTTCAAATTTGATTTTGAAAATTTATTCAGAAAAATTTAAGCCACGCTTTTTTTCCCAACACAAGAAATAATATGCTCTGGAGAACCTGCTAATTCACAGAAAATGGACTGGGCTAACATTCGGGTTCTCATCCTACCACAGTCCTCTTGAGAAAGACGGCCAGGTACACAAAGCATTTAACATTCTGACATTGAAGTAATGGAAGTATGATTAAAATAGAAATCTAATAAGATACTTTGAGAAACCACTAAATTACTCTGCGTGGTCCAGGAGGAGGAAAGGGCTGGTTTTATCTCTCTGCCATGTCTGGAATGTATTACTGTTTCTCTTGCTATAGTATGGTGTTTTAATTGTGTGCCATATTTTTTTTAGCATTCTTTCTAAACAGTTAATTGTGATATGGTAGTGTTGATGCCTGCAGTTGAGACTGTGCATACAGGAAGGACTAGGAAAAGTAGAAATAAATAAATAAATAAAAGCAGGACAAAAACTCCTGCAAGAAGCTAGCTTGATGTTTCTTCCAGTACTTTCATGATGGAGATTTTCTCTGTGAAATTGTCATTTGTTTTAACAGCAAATTGCTATTTGGAAAAGAAATTATTTGATTAGCCTGTCTTTATAACATTTTTCAGGATGTTCCTCTTCTGAAGATAAATAGGCTTGATACATAATTCCTCAACAAAACGTATCGAATGTAGACAATTGGGGATAGTGTTCTACACTCCTTCCTGGGTGGAAATTGGACTCCTTTTGTTTCCAAGCACTTTGGGAGGACCAGAATGTCCTAGTACACTCTCCACATTGTTCTTAGTCTTGTTCTGTACTGGAGAAAAGCAATGTGCCTGATATACTGCAGGGAAGAGGGGGTAGCCATCCTGCAGATTCAAGTTCATTCTGTGATCAGCCTCTTCTTCACCTGTTTCTCTCTGCACCTTCCATCAGCTGTGCCTGAACGCCTTTCTGTATTTTCTATGTTCCCACTTTAAGTCCTTACTGGTAACAGAGTTTTGCCAGAACTGCAACCCATCTGTTAGAATGTCTTCTCCTGACTGGCTTATTTTAATGGCCCTTGAGTTCCAAGACACCTTTGTTCAGTAAGAAAGTATCTTTTCAGGCTTGGGGGGACAAAGGTCCCTTTCTAGTAAGAGACCAGATACCTTAAGGAAACTCTTCAAATGGAGTATGGAGAGAGAGGAAGCCAACAAAAGGCAGGTGACGATAGCTACAAGAACAACAAGATAGCTTGCCAGACAGCCAAGCACTATTTCCACATTTTTAGCCACAATCTCTATAAACAAGATGAACCATTGCTGGGGCTATGTTAGTAAAGCAGCTATAACAAATGTTTGTCCAGTAATGATAAAATAGTATTCTGTTGCAATCTGACAATGTATAATGCATTTTGCTGCAGTCAAAGACCTGTGTTATTATTTTATGTGGTAAACTCCAGGGACCCATCATTGTTATCATTTTATTCTACCTACTTACCCAATCACAAAATAGCTGCACATTTCCCCTTGAAAGTTGGGACTCAAGAATGATTTATGAAACTACCACAGTAGCCCTAATATAGCTCCAGTGAATAAGTCCTTTCTTCTCATCGCCTTGAATGTTTTCAGTGAATAACTCAAACATAACCCAAATAAGGACAACAATCTGTGTGTCATTAGGCGCCAGCATTTAGCAGCTGCTGCTTCTGAAGCACGAAGCACACACCCCGATTAAGAACGCGGCTAGGATTGTACTGTATTCCTTGTGAGCTGAGTTCCTCAAGCACGGGAAACAGAGAGAGCTACACAGTTTGTCTACAATTGCTGGAGCTGAGGTAAAGTTTCAGAGGCCCCGGCTTTCACTCCCCGAGAGCAGTAAAGTTGGCTCAGCACACTCCTCAGGGTGTGCAAGGTGCAATGTGACTGGAGACTAGCCTTCCTGTCTCTGCCCTGCCTGTGGAACACGGTTTGAAGCTTCAAGCTTTGGGAAAATAAATAAGCCTTGGTCTGAGTCCCAGCTTGAATACCCTCACATGTTCAAATCTCCTGGCCTCCCTCAGCCCCATTCTTGAGTTCAGTTTGCTGAAATTATCTGTGAGAACTCAATAGGACTTGGACAATGTGTTTTTTGAATGCGCCCCACAGTAGATGCTCAATAGACAATACTATTAAATATTATCTTCTGTTATCATTGCTATTTTAATATGAATGATTTGGTTTTTTGCTATTAATGATATTCACAGGTAAGAGACTTGGACTTTTCTCGAGTGATATTAACTGTATAAGGAGATGGATGCTAAACACTTCTGCAAGTAAAATGGTAAAAAATAAAAATGTTAAACGTGATCTAGTGGAGGCCTAGATCACAAAGGTCTAGTGTGACCTATGAACTTTATTAAACATAAGGTAGAAATTTAAAAATGTCATCAAATTTTGTTGCTTATCACTAACCAATACCAAATATTCAGGTGATCCTGAAAGAAAGGCAATTACAAGCAAGAACTTCCTGCCCTCGCTGCCAAGCATCCAGATGTCCAACTAATGAGCTTGCTCCATCCCTTTGTGAAGGGCACTTGACATTATGCAAAGCCTCCTTGCGATTGGCCCCCTTGGTTGCTGGCTGTGGTGGTCTGTAGGTAACAGGGCTATAGAACTAACTGATTAGCATGAAGGCTGTCCATAGGAAACGATGGCCTGCTGGATGAAAGACTCTAGTGAGCTGTCAAGATGCCCCCGTGGGTCCTGAACATCTTAGAAAGGCATGCAGACAGGTCTCAGGCCCTTAAAAAGTTTATCTCTGCTTCTAAATAAGAGTAAACAGGATTGGGTTCACTTCCCCACAGAAAGAGAAGTCAGATGCTAATTAAAACTGTGCAGCACTGTAAAGGATCGTGGCATTCTGTAATGAAAAGTCAGCTTTAACTTCTAATTGGATGCCCACAAAAAAGGAGAGGCAGAAAAGGAAAAAAAAAAAAAAGACCCACAAATATATTTGCTAACAAAGGTTCTTATTGTACACCAATCTCATTTAAAGGGAGAAATCTTCGTTTTCCCTTTGTCTTGGGGAAGATTTTAATGACAGTCGAATATTTAGTAGGATAGTCTTGTCAATGGAGATTGGTTATGCTTTGTTTAATTTCACTCTCTCCCGTGGGTTTCCCACTTCCCTGCAACCACCCTCCAAATCTACAGTGGCAGAAAGCTGGTGCTCGCACGCTGTTGCACTTGCTGGCATTTCGTCTTAATCATTTCCCCGAAGTAAACATGGGTTTCCCTGTGCTTAGCATATAGTAGAAGTGAACTAAAGAGCAATTACCGGGAAACAGCCACAGTCGAGTTACGCTGGTGCCTCCCGGTGCTGCCCTTCCATTTCATCAGCCCGCAGAGGGAAGATGGAGAGATTTCTCTTCAAATGGGCAAGACTTGGAATTTTTCACAGTCACCAGCCAGAGAACAGAGTCAGAGAGGTTTTCATTTGTAAGATTGCCTTTCTCTTATCTGCTGGTCTTGTCTCCCAGACCGTCTGTCCGTCTCTAGAAAGCAAAGTCAATAAAAAATGATGAGAGTCGGCATCTCACGCACATACACCCTTAAAGCATGAAGCAGTGGTGTGCGGGAAATATTTTTCTGACCTTTTCAAATTGCATCCAACTGTCTCGGGAATTTCTCAGGGACTCGAGGTAATAAGGTTCAATCCATTTTACCGTCTGCCTTCAAATTTAGTTCCTCCGGAGCTGGAACTTCTCTCTTCCTTGCATCCTGACCCTGGCATCAAGTCTGTACAGAAACCCATGCATCTCATCTTTTTGTCCACTCCATCTCAGATTTTGTTCTCTTTTACCACAGTATGGAATCTACAACCATGTCGGATTTCCACATGCTGCCCCCTTCAAAAACCAAATGTTAACCTGAGACGAATTTGATTATGTAGTCCTTTGAGAAGCCCTTGTTGAATTTAATTAGCTTTTAAATTTCATTCTCTTCTTAAATCTCAGGTTTTTACCTGTGTGATTTGTTCCCTCAGTGGGCTTTATTAAAAAAAAAAAAACTTTTTCAACTACACTGTGGGCACTCTTTTAAAAAAAATACAAAGGAAGCAAAAACATGGGAGTTTCTTTTGTTCTGAATCAATTTTTGCTTTTCTTCCATGAGTCCAAATGGAACGGACAAGCTCTTTGGCAAGGAAGGGAATTACCCAAGTGTGACATGTTAAAAAGGCAGCTGAGTGGTCCCATTCTTCACTGTTCTCCTTAAAGGAGAACGGAAAACAGAAGCTGGGGACATTAGTGTTTTTTTTCAACCTCTTGAAAGCTCCTGATGTCCAGAAGCCTTGGCAAGAAGTCAAGAGCTTCTGAAGCTTTCAGACTCATGGCTTCCCATAGGGCATGGGCCTCTGGAGTTCTAGGACATTCCCAATCCAACAGCTCACTCTGTTCTGTCATCCCATCCCTTGTCCCTTCTTGCTCTCTGTAGAGAGTAGACTCTTGGCTGGAATGATCTGTGGTGCCCAGAGGTGAGGCCCTTGACCAACAGCTACCAGGAGGAGGACAGTTTTTTTCAAGTTGCACATCTTAGAGTCTCTCCTTTCTTGTACAGTAGTTTGTTGAACCTGATGACATCAGATCTATGGCTTCATAAAGCTGTGTGGTTCTAGAAAACCCTGTTTAGAAAGCAGGCTTTGGGGAAGAGGATGAAGGGATCTGTTTTCCTATTTCTAGCAATGGATATTGTTCTTCAAAAACTAGATCACGTGGATTTATACCAAAGTTCATCATCAAATTATCCATAATATATGGCTTTCTTTTCCATTTAAAAACAATGCCTAATTTGGGGAGGGGCATAAAATAAATCCATGGTCTTCAGAGTGTGTTTAAGTGCAAGCTGCTATTTTGTCATTTGGAACTGAATTCTTAGTAGTGGTGTTCAGTGTCCATTGACAACCTGGACACAGTCAGCTGGCACTTCAGAAGAGACGACATAAAAAAGTAGGATTCCTATCCACCCACTATTTGAAGTAAGACTAGTGTCTTATCACCAGCTGGAGAGTAAAGGATTTCACATGTAGTTAAAGCAGATTGATTTCCGGAGGGAGCTAACGCACACCCAAAGTGTGTGAATGTAGGTGTGCATGTGGGTCTTTGTGTGTATAGGTGTGTCTAGCCATGTGGGAGGCATGCACACCACACTGAATTGGAGGATAAAAGGCAGCAATAACACAGCCCAGAGAACCCATTTTCTCCCCATGGATGCTTTCTTTACCATCATTGGAAACTTGGCTGTGCCTCGTCTATGGGAACACAGAGTGCATGTCACTCTACTGAGTCATGCCTCTGTCTCATTCCTAAGACATCATTCTTGTCTATCTTCAGGACTGGTAAATAAAATGAAGTCACTAAATAGACTTGCCACTGAAATAGGGAAGTGTTTGGAATCGATCAGATTTAAAGTGGGGTGAATTTGTACTGTGTTCGCCTACTTGACTGGGTGTCCTTAGAAATGTTGGGGGAGGGAAAAAGGAACTTTTAGAGGAAGAGGCACACAGGGGAAAGGAAACCTAAATAACAATGCCAAGGACAATACTAACGTTTCATAAAAAGTAACTGTCAGGCATATCATAGATGGTAAGACAGGGACAACGGTCCCACACAAAGGGAAGGAATTGAGCCTAGAGAGTTTGCAACTGGATTTGTTTTGAGGGGGCAGAAAGAGGATTATTTTTACATGGAAAAGAACAAAAGTCACTCAGCTGTTCTGAGTCACAGACATATCCATGTTTCCTGATTCCGCGCCCCTCTTTCCCTTCTTCCCACATCTCCCCCTCTTTCTTTGTCTTATGTCTCTTTCTCTTTTTTCTTTTTCCAAAAAGAGAACAGAATAAAGCTAGAATGTTGAAGCATCCCTTTTTTTAAAAGTGGGGCTCCCATGCTTGATCTGTCAGAGAATTGCCTTCAGTAGAGTACCAGATTTAATGGTGGCCAAGAGTGCATTCACATGCCCATCTCTGTTTGTGTTGATATCTACCCAGGGTAAAGGGGGCAGGAGTATGGGAAACAATTTGAAGCAAGAGTGTGCTCAGGCATCATCTATCTATCTATCTATCTATCCATCCATTCATCATCTAGCTAGCTATCCATCCATCCATCCATCCATCCATCATCCATCTATCTATTTATCCATTATCTATCTATCCATCTATCCATCCGTCCATCATCTATCTATCTATCCATCATCCATCCATCATCTATCTATCTATCCATCCATCCATCATCTAGCTAGCTATCCATCCAGCCATCCATCTATTTATCCATCATCTATCTATCTATCTATCTATCTATCTATCTATCTATCTATCCATTGTCTGTCTATCTATCTATCTATCTATCTATCTATCTATTGTGAGCAACTATTTCTATTTGAATAATGTTTGCCTATCAGGATATCTTGGAATATTACATTCATTCAAACATACAAATGAGAATTTGTTTTCTATTTGCCTCCAACATCTCTGTAACAAAAACAAACAGTCTTTATTGCAAAGCCAGGCTTATTACTGTGCTGTCCGCTCAATGGAAATATCGACGCTCAGGGATTCAATTTTCCTATTATGACAATGTCTAAATGCTCCACGATGTGGCTCAGGGACAGGGCTCCATTATTTATCAGGGTGAACTGGGACTCTTCAGGTTGCCACGGCATCGCTTAGGCTTTAAGCCAGGGTGGGCACCTGCCCAGCACATTGTGTGTTCCCAGACACATCAGATGGGAACCTGATTCAAATTTAATCAGAGTGGCTGGATCTTGAAGGCTGTCACCAACACTCACTGCACACACATTCTTTCTAAAGAGAGTGCTTGGAAAATCCAGTCACCATTTTGCTAGAAACAAATACAGCCCTTTAAAAACAATGTCAGATCTACATAGAAAGAGCCAGCATAGTTTTAAATGCAAATGTAGAATTTGAAAGTGTCTCTCTCCCTCGCTTGTTCCCTCCTTCTCTCTCCCCTTGGGTTTGAGGTCTCTTAAATATGCATACAGTCTCGATCCAGGGTTTAGGAAAGACTGTACACTTTGCACAAGATCCCCATTGGCTGCCACTATCAACCTTCCTGGAAACACACTCAAAATAATGTGAGCAAACAGGCATAAATCAACTCTCAAACTGCCTGTCACACCCAGCTCTTCCTCAGCCCTTTGCTTGCTGACAACACTGCTCAGCCTGTGGTTTCAGAGCCACACACCTGCCCTTGTGCTGTGATCGGCTGGTAATCTCCCCTTGCTGTCAGGCTCCAGCAGTATTTATTTTGCCTTAATTGGAACCCCGCTGTCACCCTGTGGGATCCTCCCCCTTGGCAAGGCAATATATCCCTATAGACCGAGAGCACTTCTGCCATGGTTGGGTGTAACATTATATTCAGAAATAGCAGCATTGGGATCAGAATTGAACCAGAACCTAGGTTAATGGAGTTTCTTGGTGTTTCTATTTTTGGGTTTGGTTTTGGTGATAGTATTAGGAACTCACGATTTTTTGTGTTTCTCAATGTTTATCTTCGAGGTTGAAACAGCACAGTGAAGGCTCATGTTGATAACGTTGCCAGAGTTTCCCCTGCATTAGCTCATTAATCCATTGCTGGGGTCAGAAGGAAACATGGGAATAGCTGTCAGTGTGTCCAGTTGTCACCCACCCTGAACTAGGAAGCAATCAACACAGACGGTGGGTGGGACACTCTCGGCAGAAATAGCGCTCTTAGGTGTATGCCTGTCCCCTCTCGCTTTCTACACAAGCCAACATGGCAAGATGGCTGCAAAGTCTTACTTTTCTTACAATTAAATGAGTTCAAATTTGCAACTCAAGCCTGTTGCTCTTAACTTTGGGTGTCAAAACAAGGTTTGTTGCTCCCTTGGTCTCCGCAGACAGCCCATTGTGGACGTTTGGTTTCAGCACATCTGCTTTTCTCTTGTGCTAATTTTATTTTCATCATTAAAGTTCATGAAGACTTAATCATTAGCCCTCTAATTTTCCAGGAAAAGGAAAAAAAAAATGTTGATGTATTGAACTGGCTACAGCAAAAGAAGATCAATCTGACAGTGTAGGTTAATAGCTGGGAACAAAACGCATCCATAATTAGGAGAGAAAGGACGTTCCTTGTTCCTTCCAGTTTATAATAAAAAGCCCCTTGCCAAAGTGTCTTGGAAAATAATGCATTCAGACTGAGCCGAATTACCGCCTAGCACATTCTATTTATCTGTAGCTTACAAAGCAGCTGCGTTTTTTGTAAGAAGCGATGAATGTGGTATTCCTCCTTAAAGGTAGAGGAGAAAGAGCACCCCTTGTTTTGTAATAAGGGGATTTTCAATTTAAAAGAGAGAGCGGGCCTGTTGTATGGAGTAGGGTTGTTACAGCCACTGTATTCTCTCTCGCCCACCAGGAGGCTAATAATGAAGGGGCCAGGGAAAGAGGCCAATACTACAAGGGTTATCTCCCCTCAGATGCTGGAGAAGTTGGAGGAGGCAGACTCGCTTCTGGATGACATTCAGAAAGGCTGGAGCGATTATTTGGAAGAGAAAACCCTGCCTCTGTTTTCAAAGGTAAACAGTTTGTTTCATCTCTCAGTTGCATGTGTTCGTACAAAAATATGTCTCTATAAAGATATCTATAAAGTCTGCCTTTAAAAAATAGCACACAATCTTTTCAGGTACGTGAATATTGACAAGACCTGCCCGTCTAAAGGTCCCGTCCTTAGAATCCTGCCTTAGACAAAGGATGCACTTGGAGCCCGACCACACCTTAAACCACATTTTGAAGGATCTGCCAAGCTCACTTTTAATCATGAGAAGGAAATTACCCACATGGAGGCAGCAGAAAATGAGAAAGTAGAGTTCGTGCCGCGATTAATTCCAGCGAGTGCCAAGGGGCTAGTTGAGGAATGGCTTCATGAGGTGAATATCTGTAGCTTGTACTTAGGGTTTGCTTAGCGTATAATCATTTTCTCTTCCAGGAGCAAATACGATCCTAAGTGTATTTCCCATCCAAGCAACGCTCAGGGCGTTTGTGAGGACATTGACAGATTTAATATTGGCCTCGCCCTTGCTGTTATTTATGATGACTAGTGTTACATTTATAAATATGCAAAAATCAATTTAGGTGGCAAGGCTCTCTGAACCCCATGCTGTCCCCAGCCGTCTGTCTCCATGTGCAGTGCTATGCTGTGTGGCATGCCCAGTAGTTTATGTCTCTGTGTATGTATGTGTTCTTGTTCTTGTCTCCGCTCTGTCATGAATGTATGTTGGGAGAATTAGCCAAATGATAGGATCCCAAAAGATTGGACCCAAGACTTTCATTTGATTTTTGGAAAAAGTATATATATATATATTAAAGTATCCCATTGTTTTCAAGTCATACCAAGAGGGAGGGCACCAATTGGGTAGGAGTTATCACGTAACCAAACAACCAGGATTCAAATTGAACATCACTTTCAGTGTCAAATTAGTTTGAAGCCTCCTCCTTGATGATGGCTGCTTTAACCCCTGGATTTTTATTTGTTTAAAAAAAAAATCCCTGACTTCATTCTCAGGACACTGCAGCTCTTCTTGTTTGCATTTTTTCTAAAGATTAGATCCAAGAAAAATACTTATTTACTCCACCAAGACTGTCATTACTTTCATGATTACCCCCCACGCCAAATATGTCATTTCTTTTGTGGGTCAAGTTAATGTTTCATCAAGTAAGCGAACAAATAAATCATAGCTTTTTTTTCTTCTTTTAAGGCTAATTTTGGTAGGGACAGGGACAGGCCAGGGTCTTTGTGAGTCCCAGAGAAAGAATGCAGCAAAGACAACGTTGGTCTCCGTCTTTGTTTGCCCACACAAGCAAGTCCCAGGATTGCCATGCCAACCTTAAGCAATTTTGGCTCCTAGCAATCCTGTGCCCCCGAGTCTTTCAAACTACCCCTTCTAGCCTGCTGCAGAGGGCCAAGGCAAAGGCGGGTAGAAAGAATGCATTAGCTGAGAAAATGCCAGGCTGTGTTCCCACTGATATATGTGTTTGGTGCCACTATTTGAGCAGCATTTGGGTCCAAGATTGGATGATCCCCTTTGTGGGGTGTGGGGGTTCCTGATGAAAGGGAAGGTATTGAAGTGTCTAAGAAAAGGGGTCATTCTTCCGGGTGCTTCCAAAAAAGAAAAAAAAAAAAAGAAAAACAAGGCAGGCCTCTTTGGTACCTTCTGTACCTTCTGTAAAAGAACAAGAGGCTCAGTAGAGAGGATGAGTCAGCTGGTGGGCGTTGGAGAGTGGAGGCACCTGGGAGTGGAGTGAGGCAGAGGGATCGCCAGCTGGGGAAGGAGGGAGGACCTGAAGCCCAGAGGTAGAGGTGGAGGCAGAACAGCTGTGTTTATTTGAAGACGTATCATTTAACCCTCACCTAAAAACAAATTGGAGAGGTTTGGGAGTGCATTAATCTGGACCCAATTAGCATGTCTTTCTCCTTCCAAAAGTGCAACCTGAGATTAATGAACATCAACCGGAGTTTCAGAGGCAGCACGTAAAACATTTATTTGCATGTTCGTGCATGATAACTGAATTTATGTATGCACTTCCTTTCATTTAACTCTTCCCAGGCTCCTTGCGATTCATAGAAACCAAAACTTCATTATAGTGATTTCTAGGTAGAAATAGCTTGAGTCGCATTTTACCCCTAAAGGAAAAAAACTTAAGTGGTTAGTAGTTGAATTCCAACAGCACAATTTGTTTTTTCAAATGCAGAGGCCAATTGGTGATAGGGTGGAATGCTGCTGCTTCTGGAGTTGGTAGATAGGAACCTCAGATATATTCTGAAAGGCTAGAAAAATATGGAAAATTCAAACATCAAGCTTTCGGGGTTTTGGTTCAGCCACGCGTAAGTCTCTTTATAATACTGGGGACAAAGCCACTTAAATGCAGCACGGGAAATGTTCTTGGAGTTTGGATGTGTGTTACTTAGATCACTGAGCAGCTTCAGCACCCAGCATTGTTTCTGGCTTAGTTGGAAACTTGTTTCCTTAGAAAAGGGTGGGGATGCCCTCAACCTCTGTGAATGGCTACAGACAGGCAGGTAGCTCTTGTGGACCATTGATGCTGAGTTTGGTCCTTCCTTCTATTCTTCCTCCCTCCCTCCCTCCCTCCCTCCCTCCCTCCCTCCCTTCCTTCCTTCCCTCCTTCNACAAGCCAGTTTCAACCATACATCCAAAGTTTCAAACTGTTTCATCGGCCAGCAATCTCCCTAATTCCCTTCCTTCCTTTTTTCCTTCCTTCCTTCCTTCCCTTTTCTTTTCTTTTCTTTTTTTTTTTTTTTGATTATTTGGATGTAGGTCGCTTATTGATGACACAGCACACACAGGTCTTAGGGATCCTCCTTTCCACTTGGTACCACACAAAACATCTGAACACAGACAGTGAGTGTGTAAGAAAGCATCCTGTGGAAGAAAGGAGAAGCAGGAGGTTTGAAATAATTCTCCTGGCTTCAGTTTGTACAGTGATTTGTCTGTCTTCTGTCTCTCCTTGTGTGTTTCCAAGTTCAATGTCCAAGTGATGAGCTTTTCTCCAGGAATTCTCCCCAGTGTCCCTTTGTTTTTGATGACATTCTATGGTTGAATGTTACTGAGTGTCTCCTGGTCTTGTTTCTTCTGGTCCTTGTAGCTAAGAATGTCATTGAAGGATAAAATCTTGTTAATTTGCGATGTTACAATTTAAGTGTGCTTTGTGTCCCTTACAACGCAGCCTAAAATGTTCTCTAATGTAGCGTGAAATGATTGGTTGGCTTAGGAATGGTTGTGAAGTCGTGTGAAGAAAATAAGTTTCACATCCGACCGAGATCCATTCACTCTAGTGCTTTATGGCTTTTTATTCCTATGTGATTGTAATGAAGTCTCATGTAGGGATGGAAGCCATGAAATACATTGTGAAAACGCATCACCTCAGAAGGGGCCATCATCAGGATAGAGAACTGTAGCCTTGGAGCGTGCTGGAGACGTGAGCTAGTGGACAGCTCTGCTACCCTGTCGGTGTGTTCCTTGAGTGTCTTCATCTTTAGGCGTTGACAGCTGAGGAATGGATGTGGCGAGAGTTTTTCCATCTTCCTGACCACCGAGTAACATGCACATCTGACTTGGCGCATTTCTGTCTCTCATGCATTTGCTCCTCCGTTTTTCCTACTAACGAACATACTCTGGGAAAATCGTAATAGCCCATTCTCCTTGTAGGCAGCGTTCAACCCTTCCGTGACTCTTTTTTTTCCCCCCTGACAACTTTTGAGGTCTTTCTTCTGAAACCGAGAAGAAATAGACAAACCAGGTTTGTTCTCTTGGGAATATGGTCCAGATTTCTCTACTCCCAATCTCCAAAAAAATAATAAAAAAGAAAAGGTATACCTCGAATGGGCTAGCTCCATACGTAGATCTAAAGATCACGTGAGAGCCGTCTTCCTTTTACAGGTGTGGTGTAGTGGAGGGGCCCTTGAGCCTTTGGAGAGGGGAGGGGGTTCTGATATCTTCATCAAGTCAGCTATGTGACTGGGGCATGTGAGTTAAACAGTGGGACTCTTTCTATATCTTTAGAATGGGGGGTGGGGGTGGGCCAGTTTTGTTATCAGGATTAAATGAAATGACAGCTCTATACTTTGTCTAACTGTTTGACCTTGACTCTGTTTTAAAAAGCTCATGGAAATATTAGTTTTTCTCCCTTCCTCCCTCCTCCTGTTCCTCTCTCTCCCTGTCCTGTACCCGTTCCTCCTTCAGATGTTAGTCTGTCTAGAACACCACCTGAGGATCTAAGCCGGACCTTTGAGAAAGAAACGACTTCAAGGAAAGACTCCTTTCCCTATGCTTTAATTCCTTACCTTTTACCCGGATTGTATAAGATGCACTCTCAAACTATGCTCACCCTTTCTGCTCTCTGCTTATTATTATTATTATTATTATTATTATTATTATTATTATTATATTTTTTGCTTGAACTGCTTAGCATTGACTATCGAACTGCATATTCATTCTGGATTTTTAAAAGAGAATTCTAATAAAACCTTATTTGTGTTTTTAATCTTTTGTCTCTCTGCTTCCTCTGTACGATGAGATAGTGCCCTGCATTTTATAAATCTCTGACTGTTAAAGGGGGCAAATACGTCATAGAAGAGATTTCCTGACCGTGATATAGAGACTGATCCCCTTATTCCTTGTAGCCTGCCAGTGAGTGGGGGGAAATTGCTGTGATAATTGTAAGTCTGATGATCATTTATCTAGTTACTTAGAATAACTAAAAATTAGAATTTGAAAGGCACTAAAGTCTGTAGAATCATTGTGGGTAAGGAAAAGAACTTTGAAAGAGCACACATAATGAGACTTTTAAAAATTCCACAGTAATCTACGTGTTTTGCTATCAAAGCAGAATCTGGTAAGAGCCAGAGCTACTTCATTTGCATCCAGGGTGTTTTTATTATCACCAAGTTTTCCCTTTAAATCTCATGACTACCCTTCGTGCGGTTCCTATTTAATGGCCCCAAAATTTATGAGATGTCCAAAAAGTTGTAAGCCAGTGTATGGAAAAAGAAGAAATGAGGAAGAGAGGAGGGGAAAGAGACCCTGAGAATTATAGGAAGACTAAAAGAGTTAAAGACTAAGTCACATGAGAAACATGGTTGTTAAAGGAAAAGAGGAATAACGTGTACCCCTGTCCATACTGACCTGCATCTGAAGAGAGCTTAGGAGCACTTGGCCACTCAAGATGAATACCACAGACAAGCTTAATATGGAGCTCGGCACAAGGGAAGTTCCCTAGAATTGAGGGGAGGGGATATCTGTTAGAAGGTAGAGCAACAGCCACATTTCCATAGGTCAGAGTCAAAGATTTGAAATTCACTTGTCAAGAAATTTATGAAAGGCTTTATGAATGGTTCTTGAAAATTTTTCCAACATGTAAAACATTCTACCCTAGAGAAAATATTTACTTGTAAAAATCTTCACAAGTATCATTAGAAGCAGAGAGCCGATTTGAATGGACACTGTCGGCTTAATTAATGACTGCTGGGCCTCAGTGGGCTGCAATTAGCTGTTACCCTGCAGGGTAGGATGAGTCTGAGCTGTCACAGTACCCGTGAGTTCAAGGAGAGCCAAGTGTTTGTGTGCCCCTGTGTGTGCATGCGCTCTCGCTCTCTCTCCTCTTTCTTCGTTCCTTTTATGAGATTAGATCTAAACTATAATAATTGGAGGAGTAAAGACAGTTGTCTTTAAGGAGAGATTCTCAGTTGTCACTGGCCTGTTGGGATTATGGACTGGCAATATGTCTCCGAGGATATTCCTATTTAAGAGGTACATAGAGCAGAAGGTTCCAAAGAGAAGC